ATTGCATTACTTTGTTGGTCAGTGGTTCTCGTGTTCTTCACATCCTTTGGCAGTGTGTCCTGCGAGCCGTTTGACTCCTTTGCCAAGACGAGTCCTGCCACACACCATAAAACCGCACACTTCAATCAAACGGTTATTGAGTTCTTTCTCCACTTTTATTTTTTCTTTTCTTTGGTTATTGAGATTGATTTTCTTGCTGCTGCTGCTGCAACTGCCTTTAAAGATTTCTTTTACTTAATTCCCTAATTAATTTAATTATTAAGTAAAGAGTGAGTACATTTCCAGCACTGATCGATTTATCGGTAGTAATTTCCGTGCCAGCAAATTTATCAGTTTTCGCAGACGATAGCCTGCTAATTAATATTCCACAAAAAGTTCTTAACAGTTTGCCGCTTTTGTTAAAGACAGACAGGGGAAGAGAGACTTTAATTAAATAAATATTTGGCATTTGATTTGCAAAAGGCAACAAATCTGGGCGAGAATTTCAATTTCCTGTCTCCCCAATTGCCGAATGCATTATGCAAGGCAACTTAACTCCCTGAGTGGAAGGACTCTCTCCGGACTTTGAGCTTAAATCGAATGTAAATAGAGTGTGAGGCACTCGGGCGAACGGAAAGCTAATCAAAGGAATACCCTCAGCCTGGCCTGCCATCCTGCCAGTCTGCAATTTAATTGACAGATTAGGTCCTGGATTGCTAGACCTTCAAGGATAAAAGAGAGTCCCAGTTCGAGTCTCGCCAAGTCACAAGGAGTAGAGGGAGGGCACATAATAAAATATAATAAATAAATATATACAGCCTTATTTTTGGAGCTCTTGTTATCATATCTACGTATCTGTTATCTGTGACATATCGTCGACACAAGATCATGGGTTGTCATAAACATCTTTAATGGTTTGCAGATATCAGCAAATAATTATAGCATTTACTTGGCATTCCAAGACTTTAGTCATTCTTTTAGCTTGCTTAGTTTAATTTATATTTAAAATTAAGCATTAATTTGCTCCTGGTGACTTGGCAACATTTGTTATTAATTGAATGTTGAGCGACATGTTCCTAGTCACATTTATATTCCTTTGTCAACATTTTCTTCGGCCATCTGGCTTGTTTAATTTTAGTTTTTCATCAATTTTAATACCTTGACAAAGGAAATAGCCTTGTTTATTCAAATTAGTTCTAATTTCAGTCAAAATACTTTGTTGATCATACAAATAATAATTTTATTAATAGTAATGAGTAATAAACAAATTTATTAACTCTGTCCGGTATTCAATGGCAACTAATTCAGTGCTAATTATGAATATAAACAAATTTTATGTTATTTTCTTATAGTAATATTTTAAGCCAACATAAATATATATTTCCCTGATATCAAATAATATTTATTTAGTATATGAAATATATAATTTTCTAGCTAGATGTACATTTGTATATATATATAGTTTTTTTGTAATGAGTGTTCCGTTCACCGAAGAAGTTCAAGGCGATTTCCCTGGCAAAGCAAAGAGTTGTGTCTTATCTTATCGCAAAAAAACTGCCGGAATAAGCAAGCGCTATTTATATTAATTTTTTCTTTTCTTTGCCTTTTTATTTTTGTAAATTTTGTATATTTTTGTACTTGCAAATTTTGTTGTTTTCTTTTTTGGTAATCGAATGTGACCTCATATATAGATTGCCGGCAATCGTCAGGGTCCTTGGCCACTTGAGACTGAATGGATGATCTCAAGTGGATCTTTATCGCTCTCTCTTACAGAGAGAGAGACTCTCTCTCTCTGTCATTCACCTGGCTCACCTGGGTGGGCGTTATCAGGCGGAAAGATAAGCTGCCCGCTTTTCGCATTCTCCGGAGCTGTCAGCTGTTCTCGCGATCGACAGTCGAAACGAAGCGAAGCGAGGCGAAAAATTTAAATCAGTTCAGTTCCCAGCGCCGCGTCAACGGAATTCGTTGAATCTTTTCCTTACATTTTTTTTAACGCGGCTTTAAAATCTTAATAACTCAGCTGTGAAATTAACTCACAAATTAAGACGAAATCCACTGGAAAATCGAAACAAAATCTAATAAAAATCACCCTCAAAATCAATTTCCCTTTAACAAAAACACCAAATCAAATAAGGGAAACCATGTTCCAAGTGCTGTAATATAATATACACTGTATTTATAATTAAATATATGTGCAATGAGTTCGTGGAATTGCCGTGGATTGATTTTCGGTAAGAGAACTCTTCCCCCTTCCTTTTCCCCCTTTGAGTAATTATTAAAAAGCAGTTCAAGTCCAAGGGTCAGCCAGCAATTTGCCAAATGAAATATTTGACTTGCCTTGGTCCTGCCCCCCTGGAATAAAAAGGATTCAACAAGAAATACAAAAAAGAAGAGAAAAGGAATCCCAACTTGACCACAGATTTGGTTTACTTTATCCCAAAAGTCGGGGCAAAAGTTTGAGTTCAAGAAAAAAATCAAATAAAATAGGGAAAAAATATATAAATAATCAGAAAGGAAAATATCTTCGAAGAGTAGAAGTTTGCATACCCTTGAAGTGTGTTATTTAAGGATAAAAAACTCTATGAAAAATACAATAAACATGGAATTTGAATCTCTACATTTGATGTACCTTTATTTTATTTATTTACTTATTTTATATGATTAAATTAAATAAATACCAGAAATCATAGTAAATTTTTTGTGTAGCATAATTTTATATACATTTTTAAGGATTTCAAAACACCTACATATCTCTCCGTATATATTTATTATAATATATATTTTGTTATATTATTTATTCCAATTATTTAAAATGGTTTTTATTATTAATATTATTATTATTATTACTATTTTGTTACTAGTTTTTTATTTTTCATCAAAAATAGATCCATAACAACATTTACTTTACTGAAATATTTAAGAGTCTCAATTAGTAACGGAGTTCAACGACTATTTCTTAATTAGTAAGTTAAACCTTTAAGGTTTATCCAATATTTTGTGTAGCTAGGAATTTCTGGTATATTCTTTTAAGACATATATTATATATATATTTTATCTCTTTTTCCTCTGACCGTGTTGTGGGTTTCTATTTTTAGCTGTCACTTTTTAGCGGCTTCTTAATAAACAACCAAAATCGGTTTGAATCGGGGGAATGCTTTTTATGATTAACTTAGCGACTTCTTTTCAGAGTGTGTTTGTCTGTGTGCCGCCCACGGGTCGTATGCGCGATTTTTCGATTGAGTTTTTTAATATTTTTTTTTCCTCTGTTTCGGGCTGCACTTTCGCCTGGTTTTTTGGTGATAAGATTGTCCGTAAAAAATACAACAACAACAAAAGAAAAGTGAAGGCCAAACAGAAATCGCAAATCAGCTGGCAAATATCAGAAATCAGAGAATGTCTCGTGACTTTTTTTGTTTTTGGTTTTTTGGTGACAATAATCAAGGCTGAGAAAATTAAAAAAATCAAAGGTTCAAGTGGCTTAGAGGTTGAAGAACCACAAACGAAAACCCGCTTTAAGATTGCTTAATTCACATATTTATTTAAAAAAAGAGAGAGAGAGAGCAGTAGAACAAACAATAAATAAAAGATAAATTCAAATGAAAACAAGAAGGGAAATTAACTTTGCAGAAGTTTTTATACCCTTTCTATTTGCAATTAAATTATAGGATCGAATCGGAAATCTATATTAACTAAGCTTAAAGTAATCGCATTCTTTGAATCATTATTTATTTATAGTTTTATATGACATATATATATTTTTTTTTAATCAAAGTTTAAATAACGCATAACTAACCCAAAAATGCATTAATTTCAATTCGGAAAGCAGTCCTATGTTAGTTTTTAATAGGTTAACAAATCTGCATACTCAATTTAATTTTTTTTAATTTTTTCTCGAATTTTTGAACATTTAAACGATGTAACCCCTTATAAAATTTTGAAAAAAAATTGTTCGGCCAAAGATGGCTAGAAAGATTTGCCTGTTGATGCTGATCAAGAATATATATGATTTATAGGGTCGGAAATGATATTTTCACTGTGTTACAAGCTTCAGAATAAAACTAGAATACCCTGAAAGGGTATGATAAAAAACCATCAATACTCAAAAGTAAACTAAAGATAAAGAATGATGAATCTGTTATCGGTCGATATTACAAGTGTTATTAATTATGTATTGATAAGGCAAAGCAATAAGGGTGGTTAATAATTTACAGAACTATGAACTGGCTAAAAAAAGCTTCATTTTAACTTGGAAAATAATAAAAATATTAAATTTTAATTTGAAATCAATAAAACAACATTAAAGGACTGCAAATCACTGCAAAAAGAAAGAGAAATCCAATATAAAATTGCAAAACTGCCTAGCTTTAAGGTCCCTTGTCCGTGACCTATGACCCCTGCGCTCAATTCCACTGACAGCCTCCGTTTAATCCCTTAATCCTGCGAGTGAACAGACCGAGACTAATCCCATAATCCTTGTTCTTTAACTCCTTTGTTATTGGTTAATATCATTGTGTCAAAAAGGAAAGCCTTTTAAACGTAATAAATGTAATATTGTTTGCAACTTTCCTGTAACTTTTGGGGACTTTAAAAAATTTAATAAATATTTAAGGCTATCTAGGGTGCTCTTCTAGAGCAAATCTCTTAAAAATATGCTTAAAAGTTCTTATAAGAAACTTTTATTGAGACAAAATTAGTTGTTAATATGTGGTTTTTTCACTATTTACAAAATTTTGGTATAGATTATAAAAACAATAATGGTTTTTGTTGTATTCCCAAATACTATATAATTTTTTTTAAGCTAAAAACTAGCAAAATAATGAATAGTGCTATAAGATAAATAATATAAACTAGCAAAAGCTTGTGAATTCAAGGAAAAATTAATACAAAATGCATTAGAATTTGCCAATTTTGTATATCTTTACTCATAGTCAAAAAATATAAATATATCCATACCTTTCCCATTAATTTTGTATATCAGAAATGAAGTTAATTGATATATATTTTTGTAATTAATTTTCTAGTCGCGCCGACAATCGGTGAGCTTGACGGCTATGCCGCCTGGTGTCCTGGTCAACGATAGCCGGGCCAATTCCACCGATGACATCCAGATCGCCTTGGCCCCGCACATCCAGACCTATCTGAGCCAGACGGGACGGAGGCACTCCTGCTGCAGCGTCATGCTCCCGGTGGCCTTCGAGCGGGCGGCGGCCAAGTCCTGGCTGGATCCCAAGTTTGATTCTCCAGTGCTCGAGGAGCAGTATCAGGCCAGTGTATTTCCCCATGTTCGTATGCGTTACAGGTGAGTGATGAGTTATAGGAAAATATTAAAAAAAAACACTGCATTTTATACGTTAAATAGGAAAGGAAGCTAGCTTCCGGTAGTTTGCAATTAAATTATAGGATCGTATCGAATAGATCATCTTAAAATATCCACCATCTTTGAATCGGTATTTATCAATATTTGTATATGGACATTTTTTCGATAAATCTATAATTAAAAAATCTCATAACTATGCTAAAAAGGCATTAATGTTAAATCGGAAAGCTATTCTGTGCTAGTTTTTAATTCATTTATAAAGCAGCATACTCAGTTTAAAGTTTAAAAATATTAAAATTTTTTACAATTTTAACGATGTAACCCGTCTATTTTTCAAAAAATTTAACATTTTTGAAAACAAAAATTTTTTTTCGCTGGAAATGGCTATAAAGAATTGCCTTTTTATGCTGATCAAGAATATATATGATATATAGGGTCGGAAATGACTCCTTCACTGATTTTTAAGCTTCTGACTGGAATTATAATACAATTTTTAAACCAATCTTATCTATATTTTTATATGAAAATTTGTTTACCAATCAAAGTTTAAAAATTGCATAACTCACCCAAAAATGCATTAATTTTAATTTGGAAAGCTGTTTTGTGCTAGTTTTTATAAAATTAATAAATCTGCACACTCAATTTCAAATGGAAAAGAGTTCGAATTTTTGATGAAATTTTTAACAATTTTGACGATGGAACCCCTTAAAAAATTTCGAAAAAATTTTAAAATTTTATTTCTTCTTAAGATAGCTAGATCGACTTGGCTGTTGATGCTGATCAAGAATATATATGATTTATAGGGTCGGAAATGACTCCTTCTCTGACTTTTAAGCTTCTGGCTGAAATTATAAAACCCTGAAAGGTATAATTATATAGCAAAATATGTCGCCAAGGTCTGGGTTAGTTTTAAAATTATTATAAGGGTAAGAAATCACTATTTGTGTATAATATATAGTTAAGTTATGCTGTTGATACATTACTTTAAATTAAAATTCAAGAATGGGATCCACGGAAATAAGGGAATTAATGGGAACATAAATGCAAAGCTAGCAGCATAACTTAATTTTAAGCCTAGGCCTAATCACTTAATTAGTATCTATGTTAATAATATGATATGTCATGGTAAAGACTTACCCCAATTTAGGACACGTGGCTATCCGTTGTCATCATTGCTTCATTGCTTCCAGAGTAGATTTACATTTCCGGTGACTTCAATTAGGCTTCTTCCTGATCATCCAAATGTTGTCCATAGGCCACGTCATATTTTTCGGGTCGAAGGGGAGGCACTATCACTATCACTCGAGATGTTAACACTGGAGACGCCACGGACTGAATGAGGTGCGCAAGGCGGCAGAGCCCGCTATTTATAGGCTGCGAGGCAAGAGAATAGAGAATATGAGAGCGGGAGAGAAATAGAGAATCTAGAGTTAGGCAAGAGAGTAAGGGGTTTCTCTAGAGATGCACAAAGAGGGAGAGTAAGGGGCATGCCGATCCATAGAGGTAGTGAGAGGGAGAGGCACTTAGAGTGGGAGTGAGGCATATTCATATTTTATTAAGGAAATTAGTTAATTTCAATTTAAGTCATTTAATACGCTTTTAATATTTAAATTTGCATTGCGTGGTTTTTACATCTTTTATTTACAAAATATTTCCGTTTTTCTGCTTTTTTATTGTTATTCTTTATATTATAATTAATTAAGCTACAGCTGTTGATGCTGATCAAGAATATATATAATTTATAGGGTCGGAAATAATTCCTTCACTTAGTTTTCAGGCTTCTGACTAGATTTGTAATACCCAGAAAGGAAGGATATACAAATTACGACATTTACTAAAAAGTATGTTATATATAATAATAATCTCAAATAGTCTTAAATTACTTCTTTTGGTACATAAAATATTACATTTCAGTCATTTGGCTACACATGTAAAAGGCTTTTAAAACCATACAAATTTCTGTAAAAGAACTCCCATAAGAATGTCCCGAAAATCGAATAAATTTATATATCCAATTAAATTGTTTATACTAAATATAGTATAATCTTTAGAGTCTTTAAATTTAAATTTTTAGAAAGTACCTCAAGTCTAGAGTTAAATTTAAAATCATGAAGCGATAAAGGGCTAAAAGGAGGCTAAGTTAAAAATCAAATTATGTGGGCCAACTGGACTGACCCTTGTCCGGCGTCATCGTGGCTTCCACGTCCACTCAGCTATGCAAATCGAGGCAGTCAGCCAATGCAATCAAGAGAGCAACCTACTCTAGAGCCTAGAATAGGGAATACCTAAGGCCAAATTGGTAATTGTTTTGGCCTTAATTACCCGCAAAACTATGTACTAACCATGTGGGAAATGAAATTGAACATATTTCAGGCATTTAATGCTTGTTTATAATTAATTAAATGTATTCAAGTAGCTTGGGATATTGGAAATTCTGGGAACTTGTCTCTCATTTAGTAAATTTTCAGGCCTTGGGTTAAAGGTTATTGACTCTGCAACCCCTCGCCCCCTGAGATCCTGTTTTTCTCCCTTTTCCTCCTCCTGTGCTCCTGTGCTCCTGTGGCACCTGTTCCCCTGCTCTCCTTTAACCCTTTGATGGCTAAATGGTGGCAGTTCTGGCTCCTCTACGTGTCCAACTACTGCACGTGCATGCAATCAACACGAATCCTGGCCAGGAGCAGGCAAGGAGCAAGGAGCAGGGAGTTGCAGTGGTTAAACGAGGGCAAATTAGCTGGGCAAGTGCGCAGGATGGTGAAATTGCTGCCATAAATGCTCGCTTGGCTTGCGAGTGTGTGTGTGTGTGTGTGTGTGCTAAGGGGGGTTCAAGGAGGGGTAGGAGGTAGGGGACCAGGGGAAGAGGTCAGAGGTGAGAGGAGCTGCAGGTCAATGCCATTTTGGGCCATTTGGCGGCCAATTGCAAACGTTTCGCGTGCAGGAGAACAAAGCAATCGATTAACACAGCTGGCTTTCTTAGCGAAAGGTTTTTTTTTGGGAGGGTTTTTATAAAGAGATTTAAATATTTATACAACATTTATTTATATAGTTTGAAGTGATTTAAGTGCTAGAAATCAATGCAATTTTTAGGCATTCCCTTTCAAACTTTAGTAACGTTTTCACAATATGAAAATATACAAGTTCTATTGTGTTTCCTTAATTTTCTAGAATTTCTTTAAGGCTAGCAATGATTAATTTTCTTGTGACACAAGCAGGCTCAAAGTTTAACAAGTCCAAGTAAGAACAAAAGGGGAACAATGCCTGCAAAGTCCTCTTAGAGCCAGTGCATCAACAATGGCCAGAGATTAGTGGACAGCTCTTCATCTCAAGACGGAGAGTGAGAGTGAGAGTGGAAAACCCGTTTGGTTCCGGCCTGACCTCCATCACTCCCTTGGAGCTCCTTGGAGCGGAACAAAATGGGTAATGAATGCAGTGTAGTGCCACTTGCTAAAGTTGCCATGGTGACAGGTGGGAAAGTGTAAGCCGCTGTACTCCGGTCTCCGGTCACCGGTCTTTCTTTCACTCTTTAACCGGGAAAATTCCTTGGCTGCAGTTGTTTGGCGTTAATTAGGATGAATGTGCAAATGGCCGGGGCAAGGAAAAGTTGGCCTGGGCAAATGGGTAATGTAATGGCACTCTTTTAGCCGCTCAGTTCAAGGTCACAGCTGCTGCTGCTCCTGATTTCCCCCTGGATTTAATCCGCTCTGATTTTGGTAAGCAGATTTAAGCAGTATGGAAAATAAAATCTCTGCCAGCCTTTAGTTTGTTTAATGTATAAGGAAAAGTTGGGAGGTTAACCAGGATATCCTTCTTATTGATTTCCTCTATTGAAATATCCTTTCTGATTTATTAATTTTTTAATCAATTTCTTTGATTCCAGGTTCACCCTCTCGTACATCCTGCTCTGCTCACTGATGTGGTGCCTGTACTTTGTGGTGGATGGTGGTTCGGAGGACTTTTGGCGTCCCATCTCCAGTAGCTTCTCCATGCTCTCACTGGTGACGATCATGGCCTTGTGCTTCACCCACTGGGAGTTGTATCGTGACCATAGGACAGTGACCTCCGCCGTGACAGCGTTGCTCCTGTGTGGCGCCTCTCTGGCTTTCCTCACGTACACGGGAAGAGCCTTTAGTCCACTGGGTCACTTTGCCATTTGCCTGGAAATTGTGCTCCTCATCTACACGGCGCTACCGATGCCTCTCTGGTTGGGAGCCAGCATAGCCATTAGTTACTCCATTGCCTTTGAGATGGTCTCGCACATGGTCATTGGTTGCAGTGGCATTCATGGAGGAGCAGGATCAGTAGGAGCAGGAGCAGGAACAGGAGCAGGAGATCCCAGCAACAAGATCCTGGTACTCCGGATAATGGCCCATCTGAGTGTGCATTTGGTGGGAGTCCATGTGCTGATCATGAACCTAGTGCGCATGCGTGGCACCTTCATGAAGGTGGGTCAGAATCTCCTCGTGCGCCGCCAACTGGAAATGGAGAAGCAGCTCAAAGAGAAGATGATTCACTCGGTGATGCCACCAAAAGTGGCCGATATGCTGCTCAATGAAGGCGGCACAGCTGGCCTCGATGCGGGTGGCATGCCCCCAGAGTCGCACTACATGCGACCACGGGCCTCCAACGATGTGAAGTCCCTGTTTCGACCCTTTCATATGCACAGCATGGAGAATGTGAGCATCCTATTTGCAGACATTGTGGGCTTCACCCGCATGTCCTCCACAAAGACGGCCGAGCAGCTGGTGGAGATTCTCAACGATCTCTTCGAGCGTTTCGATGATCTCTGCTCGCTGAGTGGCTGCGAGAAGATCTCAACGCTGGGCGATTGCTATTACTGCGTCTCCGGTTGTCCAGAGCCCCGGGCGGATCATGCCATCTGCTGTGTGGAGATGGGTCTGGGCATGATCGATGCCATGCGTTGCTTTGATGCCCAGCGGCACGAGGGTGTCAAGATGCGAGTGGGCGTCCACACGGGGACCGTGCTCTGTGGGATTGTGGGCACACGGCGGGTGAAGTTCGATGTGTGGAGCAATGATGTCAGTTTGGCCAACAAGTGAGTGAAGGGAGAAGGAGTTCTCATCCTGAAAAGTTATAAATAAATATCTTTCTCTCCTCTCCCTGTAGAATGGAATCCTCGGGCAGGCCAGAGCAGGTGCACATCTCACAGGAGACATCCAGCTTCTTGGGTGATGCCTACTACTTGGAGGAGGGCGAGGAGGTCTTTGGTGAGTATTGTAATAATTCCAAGGAGTCTCTTAATCTGTAATCTCTTGTAATCCTTTGACAGGCCATCGCACCTACTTTGTGGTGGGACGACGTCGTGACTTTTGCCGCACCAATAGCCTGAGTCCCAGCATGCCTGCCAATCCCGTTGGCAGCTCCCTCCTCCTGCCCGGCGGCCATGTGGCTTCACTGTCGCAAAGCGCCACCAATGTATCCGTGGTGCAGCCCAATGTCCCGCCCGCCTCGCCGGTGGGTCAGCTCTCCAGCTCGCTGAATCCCTCGCCAGTGCTCTCCATGCGACCGCGTCTCACCTCCTTGAGCATGAAGCTGCGCAAGAAGTCACAGAGTCGAGACCGAGATAGGGACAGAGATCGTGATGTGGAACGCGGCATCATTCATCCAGCGGCAGCGGGTGTGCCACCTGTCATTGTAGTCCGAGAGCGGCCCAAGATCATCATTACGACCAAGTCGCTGCCGGGCAGCTTGGACTCCGATGAGCAACCTCTGCCGGCCAGTCCACCGCCTCCACATCCACCAGTGCCGCCGCCACCACCGCCGCCGAGTACCACATCCGCCAAGATCAAACTAAAGGTATGGAAGGTGACGCGTTTCCTTAAGCGATTCGAGGATCTGGCCAGTCGGAATAACAGTGCCAGCAGCTCCTCGTCACCAGCAACGGCAGCAGAAGCTCAGCAGGAGAGGGAAAGGGAAAGAGAGCGAGAGAAGGAGGAACTGAATCCACATCATCACGCTCTAAATCACGAGGAGACGATGGCCTTCATGGACAGCCAAACGCAGAATGGTTGCGGCTATCAACAGCTGCCCGTGCTCGTGGAGCAGCGTACTCAGACTCTGGACATACCAACAGCTGCTCGTCCAGTGCTTCATCATGCGGCGACATCGACAGCCTTGGCCAGCAGTGTGCTCCGTTCACCGGAGGCAGGAGCAGGCACTGCCACCGGCTGCTGCTCACCTGGTCAGTACTCCATGTACGATGACATTATCGATGTTCGCTCCTACATCAGTCAGTCGCGGAGTGATATCTCACCCTTTGGACGTTCAGGAAGCTATCGATCCCAGTGCGGACGTCAGTCCACCGGAGGCAATGGAGCAGCATGTGGAGTAACACCGGGTGGCTCGCAGGCAGTGCCCGCTGTGGAGCAATCACCATTGCCTAGGCCACGTGCCTCAACACTGGCCACGGGACGTCCTGGAGCGGGTAATAGCCTGGAACCTGGGAGCTCCTCCTGCTTACCGGCACCCGGAGGATCTGGAGGCTCTGGATTCCCGCCCACGCACTCCCGCCAATCGAGCATCTGTCCCTCGGCCACGTCACGCAAAGATTCGGGCATCAAGAGCAACTCCCGCCGCTCGTCCATCCAGCAACAGATCTATGCGCTGAATCAGTCGGCGATAAGTCAGCATCGAGTCTCGGGATACTTCACCAGCTCCACGTCCAGCATCTCCAACCTGGGCGAGGTGGGCCAGGGACTGGGCATGGGCCTAGGCCTTGGCATGGGCCTCGGCATGGGCATGGGAATGGGAGGACTCCCACTGGCCGTACAGCCGCCACCGCCGGCCCTCCTCATGCCCGCCTGCTCCTCCCAGATGGCCGATCCCTTGGCCGCCTGCCTGCAGCAGCTGCGCAAGCAATCCGATCTCCAGCTGATCCGATGCGTCCGTGACAATGCCCGATCGCAGCGAAGTTACCTGGTGAAGCCACCGTTGCGAAGATTTAGTCTCTACTTCAAGTCGCGGCAGCTGGAGCGAGATTTCCGCTCCAAAGCGCATCGTTTTGGGGCCGAGAACGAGACGGAGGGACCACCGACACTGGCCACGCCGCGGTACAACACCTACATCGATATATTCGTGGGCATTGCCGTCTACCTGTGCATCTCCGTCTCCCTGTTCCTGATGACCCAGAACACGGTCAGTCCCAGCTTTCGGCTGTGGGTGACGCTCTTCTCCTGCTTCACGGGCATCCAAGTGTTTGCCCTGTTCCTCTTCACCCGCCAGATGTGTCGTCGGCAGAGCGGGAGTGGCCACAATAATAATACTAATCATCGCCTGAGATCCAAGTCGAGCATCAGTGAGGATCTAGAGCGGGATGCAGAGAGGAATAAGGAACGGGATAAGGAACGGAATCGAGACAAAGACCTGGAGAGAGAGCGTCGCAGAGATCACTCCACTGGTTCTTCGATATCCTGTACGGATCGGATCTTTGAGGCCATATCCAGTTGGTATCCCTGGCACATCTGCCTGGCCGTGCTCATGGCCATGCCCGTGCTCCTGATCATTGCCAACTTCCTGCTGCTGGACCTGGAGCAACTGGAGGCCTTTGAGTATCACTATGGCTTCCTGATCTTCGTGTGCATCGTCCATTTCTGCAACTTTACGCAGCTCAATTGCTGGGTGCGCAATGTCCTGGCCTTTCTGGCGGCCCTCTGCTTCATCGGCATAGCTGTGTCCCAGTTGATGGTCTACAGTCAGAATCGTGACGATCTGCAGCAGCAACAGCAGCAGGAGCAGGAGCAGGACTCATCCTCATCATCCTCTTCAAACTTCAGTGAGGAAATCAAATGGTTTCAGGACTACCATGTCGAAATCTATCTGGATTTACTGCTCATCCTGGTCCTGGTGTGGTTCCTTAATCGAGAATTTGAAATTGGCTATCGGCTAACCTTCTATGGCAATGCTGTGGCCAACCAGGACAAGGTCCGAGTGCAGAACATGAAGAACCAAGCGGATATGCTGCTGCACAACATCATACCCAAGCATGTGGCAGAGCATCTGAAGAATACGGCCAAGTACTCGGAGAATCATCACAACATAGCCATCATCTTTGCCTCCATTGTCAACTTTAATGAGATGTACGATGAGAGCTATCTCGGTGGCAAGGAGTTCCTGCGCGTCCTCAACGAACTGATTGGTGACTTCGATGAGTTGCTGTCCCGTCCCGAGTTTCGTGCCGTTGAGAAGATCAAGACCATTGGGTCCACCTTTATGGCAGCCAGTGGATTGGATCCATCGCATCGTGGATTGGGAGATGAGCACATACACACGCTGATGGAGTTCTCCATTGCCATGCAGGAGGTGGTGGATGCTTTTAATAAGGATCTCCTCGAATTTAATCTCATACTGAGGATTGGCATGAATGTGGGCGATGTCACCGCTGGCGTTATTGGTACCAGCAAGCTCTACTATGACATCTGGGGCGATGCAGTGAATGTGGCCTCGCGCATGGATTCCACCGGCCTGCCCAATCGGATACAGGTGGGCAAGGACTGTCTGCCCTTCCTCACCAGCAACTATGAGTTCGAGCCACGCGGCAGTGTCTATGTAAAGGGTAAGGATCACATGGAGGTCTTTCTGTACACGGGCAGGAGAGAAAAGCCATTGGAGGAGGAGGGAGTGCCTCTAATAGGGGAGAATCAGCAGCAGGATGAGGAGCAGGATCAGCAGCAGCAGGAGCAGGAGGAACAGCAAGAGAAACTCTTGCAGCAGCAGCAGCAGGAGGAGGAGGAGGATGCGGAGAAGAAGCCTCTGCAGCTGGAACTGGAACTAGCCGAGAACGATGACGACGAGGACGATGAGGATGAGGATGATGATGATCTGCACTCCAGCGAGACCACCACTCTATTCAAATCGCAGGAGTCACTGCAGGCAAATGGAGGCAATCACTTGGCACCAAACACCAGCAGCAATCATGCCGTGACCACCACCAACTCCATGCCCTTGGAGACCTGAGAGGAGAGCCAAGCCAAGTCATGGTTTCAAAATTGCATTTAATGACTCTCACAAGAAGGAGCAGGAGCAGATTCCGAGCAGGTGGAACCAAGAGAAGGAGGAAACGGATACAGATCGAGTGGGCGAAGAGGGGGATTCGAGGTTGAGCATCAACCGTGTTTTTTGTGATAATAATTGAATATGAATAGATAGAAATGGTAAACGATAAACGATAGGGCGCGATAAATGATAGAAAACGATAAACGATAGTGACGATAAATGATAGAATCGGTTTAAAGTTGCTAGTGATGAATCGATTGATCGATGGATTAATTGATTGTTGTTATTGCGGTTGGTCAAGTACAGTGCAAAGATATATACATATATATATAAAGAGGGAGAAAGGAGATCCTTGAAAGAGATAAGAAGAGATCAGTTCGTTATCGAATTTATATTCGATACAGTTTTGTTTTCTTTTTTGATCTTATCGAAACGGAAGTTACCCTATATTGTATGCGCATATTTTACCTTCTGCCGCTGTTTTTATTTCCTTTTTTTAATAGCTCTAACTAAACTAAATTTTAAATTAAATTAAATTAATAACTAAAAGAGATATATATATACATAATTAACACTAAACTAATGCAAGTACGTGGCTTTAAGTGTAGCGAATTATATACATATACATATATGTGTATGTTTAGGCAGATTGTGTGGTGTGTAGTTTCAATGTAACATAAACATTTATAAGTAAGCAGAGATAACAGTTAATTAGTTTTTTGTTTTTTATTTTATTTTTTTATTTTGGAAAGCCAACGAATGGATATTACCTGTATGTGTATTGTTGTTCATGTTGATCAAGTATGTATGTCTGTTTATGTGTGTATATAAATGTATGTAGCTAAAGTTAGACGAATGTGTCGGCCATATATGTAAAGCTTATAACGAAAGGTTTAGCATTTTCTTAGATTTTAAACCAGATATTGAAATTGTATTAATTTTTTGTGAAAGCGAAACTGAAAGTGAAAGAAGAGATATAGAAACGAACCGATTAACCCCAAAAAAGTATGCACCAAATGCTTGCCACACACACATTGGAAAACGGTCATAATTTTATAAGTCTTTTTGTATCATTTTTTGTACACACACGAACACAACACCCCTTTGTGCAATAGAATATGGATAACAAACTTAAGCAAATCTCTATTTCCGCTACGAAAACTAAAAACAAATCAAGTCAAAGCAGTGAAAAAATAATGATATATATATATAACACTAATGCATATATGTTATATATAGTATATGCTGTAAACGTGTTACGTGTATTTGCAACCTATGGACCCTATTGTATTTTTATATAAACAAAATATGTATTTTCTACTAATTTATTGAACAACAAAAACAAAATGAAACGAATCACGAGAGACGTACTCTTATTCATGTCTTATTGAAACATCTAAATGTACATACTCTATATACGATATGTATTTATATTTATAATTGTATATTTTTTATAAAAAAACAAGAAAGAAGGAATGTGAGCACAAAAAGCGACCGAATGATATATGATATATGCATATATATATATATATATATATATATATTTATGAAAAAGTCTAGATCCTGTTTACGATGTGTGTAGAATTGTTTAAATGTTGTTAACGCTGGGATACAGCCCAGCCACTCATGGCCATTATGTAAATGGATCGTGTCCTACGTGTGTTTTAGCAAAAGATTTCAAAGAGTTTATCGAAATGTTATAGGCAAACCTACTAAACGAGATGTGTAGAAATCTAATAAACAAAAGGCAGCAGTCTTAAATTGTATGTACTTAACAAACGTATTAGTTTATTTTATTGGGTTCGGGAATGCGAATGGGAAAGTATCGGAGATGTTTTAATGTTATAATATAATTTATATCGATCATTCCTATAGCAGCTATATAATATAGTTGTCCGAATTTTATAAAATTAATAACAAAATTCTAAAATAATACTGATTCGGTATATCTTAAATTTTATGAAAATATGTCAAAAACTGGCAAAGTTATAATGTTTTTTCTAAAAAATTTCCAAAGTGAAGGCTTGTTTTGGCTTACAACAACAACAACATCTCATGTACAATAAGAACGGTTTAACAACAACAACAATTTACTGCAACAAAGGACAAAAAATATATTAATTTAAATGCAAAATTTGAAATTGAATTGAAATAGGCAATAGGCCATATCAGTTAACCGACAAACTTGAATTTGAATTTAAATAGTCGATCAGTTACCGCCAAGTATCTATTTAAGCTCAAATTCAAATTTGACTGAAATGGCGGGTAAACTTGCATTCAAATTTAGCAGTTAAATTGCAATGTTGTTGTTGTAAATTTAAAATTGTTGTTGTTGTTATTGTTGTTGTAGGCAAAACCCAGCCTTCAATTTGGTCTTTTTACTAAAAAATTGTCAATTTCTGGATCTGAAGTACCAGGCGAACAGAAACCGCAGAAAGCAAATTAATTTCAGTGCAAGAGCTGAAAATTAGAGTTGTCCCTTTACCTATATTGTAGCAGAGCTTTCAATCTAGCTATAAAATAGCTACGTCGTCAACAAAATATTTCGGGAACTTTTTTGCAGTGTGACCAACTCATTTTTCACTACTTATCACTTTATATGTGACCGCTTCGATTCTCCGCTGGTAGCCTGCAACCAAGTACAGCTGCAAAGATCAACTGCTGTCAGAAAACCACATGCTGCTTTGACATCCTACGTTTTAGGTTAAGGTGAATGCATTCAGGAGCAGCCACAGGATCAGGATGAGCTGTATCATTTCCAGTGCGTGCTGGTCACAGCCCGGCCTACCCAAGTGCAGACCACTACGCTCCTGCTGCCCATTGATAAGCTATCCAACACCCCCTCGCTGGCCTCTATCGTGAACAGCGCCAAGGAGAAGAGCCTCGATGACCAGCAATCGGATGACTCGGGCATCTCGGCCTCCTCTCAGAGCAACAACAATCCCCAGGACAAGCAGCAGCAGCAGCCGCTCAAGCTGACCGTGGTCACCCGCAAAAAGCAGCGTTACATTGGACCCAACTGCCTCAACATGACACCGGAGCCGCGGCAGCATATCACCAGGATCATTTCCACTCCGCAGCTAAGCGGCCTGCTCCAGAATCGTTTTGGGTTATGGTGAATGCACTCAGGAGCAGCCACAGGATCAGGATGAGCTGGATCAAGCCCAGGGCGTGGTGGCCACAGCCCGGCCGGCGGCAGTACAAACCACTGATGAGGATGAGCTGGATCACGCCCTCGCTGACCTCTAGCGTGAGCAGCGCCAACGAGGAGAGCCCTGGTGACCCGCATTCTGAGGACTCGTGCATCTCGGCCTCCCCACAGAGCAAGAACAACCTCCAGGCCAAGCAGCAGCAGCAGCCGCTCAAGCTGACCGTGATCACCCGCCAGGAGCAGCGCTACATTCGACACAACTGCCTCAACATCACACCGGAGGTGCAGCAGCAGAAGCTAATCACCGCAGCTAAGCGGCCTGCTCCAGAACCGACAGTTTGCCTTCGGTGGTGCCTCTTCCAAGGGCGTGATGCAGCGGTTTATGGCCTCCCATGGCAAGGTGGGTAACATCAGCAACAGCAACACCCTCAAGATGAACACGCGCACGGCGTTGACCTTCCCGGAGAACGGCAACTCGCCAACGAGCATTAACACGGTCACCCCATCACCGCAGCCATCGAGAGGGACACGGAGGGCAGGCCATTACGTCAGGGCTATGCGCCCATCGAGCACAAGATTCAGCACGAGCTGCAGGACCCCAGGTCGCCGGAGAAGGATCTAAAGCGCCTGCGCAAGATTAAAAGGCAGATCACACTGAAGGCTTCGCTGGAAAAGCTGTGAGTACACGTCAAGCCTTTCAATAATCCTCTTATAATATTACGCTTTTTCGTTTCCAGCCAGCATAACACAGACGACAAGGCCGATGTGGACGACGATGACGAAGAGGACTCTGCTATGGACCCGGAAAACTGCGACATGCCCAGTCCACCTAGGAGTTGGATAGAAATGGGCAAGTTTTAGATAACCTACTTAAAAAAGTTTTATTCTCATTAGATTTTCATTCTTATATCAACAGCAACGAACTGGAAAACGTCCACAAGCCCGCTGGCATTTGCAGCCTGAGTGCAACCGCCTACATAGCCAATGGAGCCAGGAATGGCAGCACTAAGGGGATGCGTCTGGCCATGTCGCTGGCCCAGCTCTGTGATCTGTCGTCCAAGCAGACGCCCTCATCGCGAGGCCCCATTGCCCAGTGGGAAAGCTTGATCAAGAACCGTTTTACAGTGTGACCAACTCATTTGCCACGTCCTTATTTCGAAGTGACCGCTTTGACTTTCCGTTGTTTGCCTGCAACCATGTGCAGCAGCGACGATCAACTGCTGTCAGAAAACCACGTGCAGCTTTGACATCCTACTTTTTAGGTTATGGAGAATGCACTCAGGAGCTGCCTACTGATGAGCTATCCAACACCCCCTCGCTGGCCTCTAGCGTGAACAGCACCAAGGAGAAGAGCTTCGATGACCCGCATTCTGATGAATCCGGCATCTCGGCCCCCTACAGATCAACAACAACCTCCAGGCCAAGCAGCACCAGCAGCCGCTGAAGCTGACCGTGGTCACCCGCCAAAAGCAGCGTTACATTGGACCCAACTGCCTCAACATGACACCGGAGCCGCGGCAGCATATCACCAGGATCATTTCCACTCCGCAGCTAAGCGGCCTGCTCCAGAATCGTTTTGGGTTATGGTGAATGCACTCAGGAGCAGCCATAGGATCAGGATGAGCTGGATCACTCCCTCGCTGACCTCTAGCGTGATCAGCGCCAACGAGGAGAGCCCTGGTGACCCGCATTCTGAGGACTCGTGCATCTCGGCCTCCCCACAGAGCAAGAACAACCTCCAGGCCAAGCAGCAGCATAAGCCGCTCAAGCTGACCGTGATCACCCGCCAGGAGCAGCGTTACATTGGACCCAACTGCCTCAACATGACACTGGAGCCGCCGCAGCAGAAGCTTATCGCCAGGATTATTTTCACTCGGCAGCTAAGCGACCTGCCCCAGAAACGTTAGTTTGCCTTCGGTGGTGCCTCCACCAAGGACGTGATGCAGCGGTTTATGGCCTCCCATGGCAAGGTTGTGCCACCCAATAGTCCCCTGCCGCCCGTCACGCCATTGGGCATCATCAGCAGCTCAGGGAGCAATCAGAATGGATGTCAGCAGCAACAGCAACACCCTCAAGCTGAACACACACACGGCGTTGGCAACTCGCCAACGGGCATTACCACGGTCACCATATCGCCGGCAGCCATCGAGCGGGACTCGGAGGGCAGGCCGTTGCGTCAAGGCTATGTGCCCGTCGAGCAGAAGATCCAGCAGGAACTGCAGGACCTCAAGTCGCGAGAGAAGGAGCTGAAGCGCGTTCGCAAGATTAAAAGGCAGAACACACTGAAGGATTCGCTGGACAAGCTGTGAGTGCACGTCAAGGCTATCAAGAATCCTCTTATAATCTTACGTTTTTTCGTTTCCTGCCAGCTAAGCACATATGACGAGGCCGATGGGGACGACGATGACGAAGAGGACTCTGAGGTGGATCACTGCTATGGACCCGAAAAACTGCGCACTGCCCAGTCCACCCAGAAGTTGGGTAGAAATGTGTAAGTTTTAGATAACCTACTTAAGTTTGATTCTTATTGAATTTTCATTCAGCAACAGCAACGAACCGGAGGACGTACACAAGCCCGCTAGCAATCGAAGCCTGAGTGCAGCCGCCTACATAGCCAATGGAGCCAGCAATGGCAGCATTAAGGGTATGCGTCTGGTCATGTCGCTGGCCCAGCTCTGTGATCTGTCGTCCAAGCAGGCGCCCTCATCGCGAGGCCCTATTGCCCAGTGGGAAAGCCTGATCAAGAACCGTTTTACAGTGTGACCAACTCATTTTCCACGTCCTTATTTCGAAGTGACCGCTTTGACTTTCCGCTGTTTGCCTGCAACCATGTGCAGCAGCGACGATCAACTGCTGTCAGAAAACCACGTGCAGCTTTGACATCCTACTTTTTAGGTTATGGAGAATGCACTCAGGAGCTGCCTACTGATGAGCTATCCAACACCCCCTCGCTGGCCTCTAGCGTGAACAGCACCAAGGAGAAGAGCCTCGATGACCCGCATTCTGATGAATCCGGCATCTCAGCCCCCCTACAGATCAACAACAACCTCCAGGCCAAGCAGCACCAGCAGCCGCTGAAGCTGACCGTGGTCACCCGCCATGGAGCAGCGTTACATTGGACCCAACTGCTACAACATCAACCAGGATCATTTTCATACGGCAGCTGAGCGGCCTGCCCTACCAAGGGCGTGATGCAGCGGTTTATAACCTCCCATGGCAAGCTGGTGCCACCCAATAGTCTGCTGCCGCCCGTCACGCCATTGGGCATCATCAGCAGCTCTGGGAGCAATCAGAATGGATGTCAGCAGCAACAGCAACACCCTCAAGCTGAACACACACACGGCGTTGGCCTTACTGGAGAACGGCAACTCGCCAACGGGCATTACCACGGTCACCATGTCGCCGGCAGCCATCGAGCGGGACTCGGATGGCAGGCCGTTGCGTCAAGGCTATGTGCCCGTCGAGCAGAAGATCCAGCAGGAACTGCAGGACCTCAAGTCGCGAGAGAAGGAGCTGAAGCGCGTTCGCAAGATTAACAGACAGAACACCCTGAAGGTTTCGCTGGACAAGCTGTGAGTGCACGTCAAGGCTATCAAGAATCCTCTTATAATCTTACGTTTTTTCGTTTCCTGCCAGCTAAGCACATATGACGAGGCCGATGGGGACGACGATGACAACGAGGACTCTGAGGTGGATCACTGCTATGGACCCGGAAAACTGCGCACTGCCCAGTCCACCCAGAAGTTGGATAGAAATGTGTAAGTTTTAGATAACCTACTTAAGTTTGATTCTTATTGAGTTTTCATTCAGCAACAGCAACGAACCGGAGGACGTACACAAGCCCGCTGGCATTTGTAGCCTGAGTGCAGCCGCCTACATAGCCAATGGAGCCAGAAATGGCAGCACTAAGGGGATGCGTCTGGCCATGTCGCTGGCCCAGCTCTGTGATCTGTCGTCCAAGCAGACGCCCTCATCGCGAGGCCCCATTGCCCAGTGGGAAAGCTTGATCAAGAACCGTTTTACAGTGTGACCAACTCATTTGCCACGTCCTTATTTCGAAGTGACCGCTTTGACTTTCCGCTGTTTGCCTGCAACCATGTGCAGCAGCGACGATCAACTGCTGTCAGAAAACCACGTGCAGCTTTGACATCCTACTTTTTAGGTTATGGAGAATGCACTCAGGAGCTGCCTACTGATGAGCTATCCAACACCCCCTCGCTGGCCTCTAGCGTGAACAGCACCAAGGAGAAGAGCCTCGATGACCCGCATTCTGATGAATCCGGCATCTCGGCCCCCCTACAGATCAACAACAACCTCCAGGCCAAGCAGCACCAGCAGCCGCTGAAGCTGACCGTGGTCACCCGCCAAAAGCAGAGTTACATTGGACCCAACTGCCTCAACATGACACCGGAGCCGCGGCAGCATATCACCAGGATCATTTCCACTCCGCAGCTAAGCGGCCTGCTCCAGAATCGTTTTGGGTTATGGTGAATGCACTCAGGAGCAGCCATAGGATCAGGATGAGCTGGATCACTCCCTCGCTGACCTCTAGCGTGATCAGCGCCAACGAGGAGAGCCCTGGTGACCCGCATTCTGAGGACTCGTGCATCTCGGCCTCCCCACAGAGCAAGAACAACCTCCAGGCCAAGCAGCAGCAGCAGCCGCTCAAGCTGACCGTGATCACCCGCCAGGAGCAGCGCTACATTCGACACAACTGCCTCAACATCACACCGGAGGCGCAGCAGCAGAAGCTAATCACCGCAGCTAAGCGGCCTGCTCCAGAATCGTTTTGGGTTATGGTGAATGCACTCAGAAGCAGCCACAGGATCAGGATGAGCTGGATCAAGCCCAGGGCGAGGTGCCCACAGCCCGGCCGGCGGCAGTACAGACCACTGATGAGGATGAGCTGGATCACGCCCTCGCTGACCTCTAGCGTGAGCAGCGCCAACGAGGAGAGCCCTGGTGACCCGCATTCTGAGGACTCGTGCATCTCGGCCTCCCCACAGAGCAAGAACAACCTCCAGGCCAAGCAGCAGCAGCAGTCGCTCAAGCTGACCGTGATCACCCGCCAGGAAAAGCGTTACATTGGACCCAACTGCTACAACATGACACCGTCAAGCAGAAGATCCAGCAGGAGCTGCAGGAGCCCAAGTCGCGGGAGAAGGATCTGAAGCGCCTGCGTAATATTAAAAGGCAGAACACACTGAAGGCTTCGCTGGAAAAGCTGTGAGTACACGCCAAGCCTTTCAAGAATCCTCTTCTAAAATTACGCTTTTTCGTTTCCAGCCATCTCAGCACAGACGACGAGGCCGATGCGGACGACGATGACGATGAGGACTCTGAGGTGGAGCACTGCTATGGACCAATGGCAGCATTAATGGGAGGCGTCCGGCCATGTCGCTGGCTCAGCTCTTTAATCTAAGAAGCAGGGGCCCACATCGCGAGGTCCCATTGCCCAGTGTGAAAGCCTGATCAAGAATGCCGAGAACGGAACGGTTGTTGAGGCGGTAATCTAAGAGGACAAACGGAAGAGGTTAGCAGAGTCGTCTTTCCCTCCGAAAATCAACACATCAATCCACCAAATTATTATTGTAATGTCCACTCTTGATACCAATCCTAAGTCCGACTCCCGATCCTCTTCTCCACACAAAGCGAAAGATGCTTATGAACAAATTAATCTAAACGCCTTAAAAATTCGAAATAAAATGATTGAATTTGATTTATTTTCGTTCTTGTTATTTAAAATTGTTCTTGTAAAAGAGTCGTTTGTTGTTCTTGTTGTTGTTGTTGGCAAAATCCAGCATTCAGTTTGGTTCGTTTCAGTACAAAATTGCCAATTTCTGGATCTGGAGTACCAGGCGAACAGAAATCGCAGAAAGTAGATTCACTTTAGTACAAAAGCTTCAAATTAGAGTTGTCCGTTTAGCTATGTTGTAGCAGAGCAAAGAGCTTTAAGCTCAAAGCTTGAATCTAGCTATAAAATAGCTAAACTGACAACTCTAATTTGAAGCTTTTGTACTAAAGTGAATCTACTTTCTGCGATTTCTGTTCGCCTGGTACTCCAGATCCAGAAATTGGCAATTTTGTACTGAAACGAACCAAACTGAATGCTGGATTTTGCCAACAACAACAACAAGAACAACAAACGACTCTTTTACAAGAACAATTTTAAATAACAAGAACGAAAATAAATCAAATTCAATCATTTTATTTCGAATTTTTAAGGCGTTTAGATTAATTTGTTCATAAGCATCTTTCGCTTTGTGTGGAGAAGAGGATCGGGAGTCGGACTTAGGATTGGTATCAAGAGTGGACATTACAATAATAATTTGGTGGATTGATGTGTTGATTTTCGGAGGGAAAGACGACTCTGCTAACCTCTTCCGTTCGTCCTCTTAGATTACCGCCTCAACAACCGTTCCGTTCTCGGCATTCTTCTTGATCAGGCTTTCACACTGGGCAATGGGACCTCGCGATGAGGGACCCTCCTCAGATCAAAGAGCTGAGCCAGCGACATGGCCAGACGCATCCCCTTAGTGCTGCCATTCCTGGCTCCATTTGCTATGTAGGCGGTTGCACTCAGGCTGCAAATGCCAGCGGGCTTGTGGACGTTCTCCAGTTCGTTGCTGTTGATATAAGAATGAAAATCCAATGAGAATAAAACTTTTTTAAGTAGGTTATCTAAAACTTGCCCATTTCTATCCAACTCCGGGGTGGACTGGGCATGTCGCAGTTTTCCGGGTCCATAGCAGAGTCCTCTTCGTCATCGTCGTCCGCATCGGCCTTGTCGTCTGTGTTATGCTGGCTGGAAACGAAAAAGCGTAATATTATAAGAGGATTATTGAAAGGCTTGACGTGTACTCACAGCTTTTCCAGCGAAGCCTTCAGTGTGATCTGCCTTTTAATCTTGCGCAGGCGCTTCAGATCCTTCTCCGGCGACCTGGGGTCCTGCAGCTCCTGCTGAATCTTATGCTCGATGGGCACATAGCCCTGACGTAATGGCCTGCCCTCCGTGTCCCTCTCGATGGCTGCGGTGATGGGGTGACCGTGTTAATGCTCGTTGGCGAGTTGCCGTTCTACAAGTGGGCCAACGCCGTGCGCGTGTTCAGCTTGAGGATGCTGCTGTTGCTGCTGACTCCATTCTGATTTCTCCCTGAGCTGCTGATGTTGCCCACCTTGCCATGGGAGGCCATAAACCGCTGCATCACGCCCTTGGAAGAGGCCCCACCGAAGGCAAACTGTCGGTTCTGGAGCAGGCCGCTTAGCTGCGGTGATTAGCTTCTGCTGCTGCGCCTCCGGTGTGATGTTGAGGCAGTTGGGTCCAATGTAACGCTGCTCCTGGCGGGTGATCACGGTCAGCTTGAGCGGCTGCTGCTGCTGCTTGGCCTGGAGGTTGTTCTTGCTCTGTGGGGAGGCCGAGATGCACAAGTCCTCAGAATGCGGGTCACCAGGGCTCTCCTCGTTGGCGTTGATCACACTACAGGTCAGCGAGGGCGTGATCCAGCTCATCCTGATCCTATGGCTGCTCCTGAGTGCATTCACCATAACCCAAAACGATTCTGGGGCAGGCCGCTTAGCTGCGGAGTGGAAATGATCCTGGTGATAAGCTTATGCTGCCGCGGCTCCGGTGTCATGTTGAGACAGTTGGGTCCAATGTAACGCTGCTCCTGGCGGGTGATCACGGTCAGCTTGAGCGGCTTATGCTGCTGCTTGGCCTGGAGGTTGTTCTTGCTCTGTGGGGAGGCCGAGATGCACAAGTCCTCAGAATGCGGGTCACCAGGGCTCTCCTCGTTGGCGCTGATCACGCTAGAGGTCAGCGAGGGAGTGATCCAGCTCATCCTGATCCTATGGCTGCTCCTGAGTGCATTCACCATAACCCAAAACGATTCTGGGGCAGGCCGCTTAGCTGCGGAGTGGAAATGATCCTGGTGATAAGCTTATGCTGCCGCGGCTCCGGTGTCATGTTGAGGCAGTTGGGTCCAATGTAACGCTGCTCCTGGCGGGTGATCACGGTCAGCTTGAGCGGCTACTGCTGCTGCTTGGCCTGGAGGTTGTTCTTGCTCTGTGGGGAGGCCGAGATGCACAAGTCCTCAGAATGCGGGTCACCAGGGCTCTCCTCGTTGGCGCTGATCACGCTAGAGGTCAGCGAGGGCGTGATCCAGCTCATCCTGATCCTATGGCTGCTCCTGAGTGCATTCACCATAACCCAAAACGATTCTGGGGCAGGCCGCTTAGCTGCGGAGTGGAAATGATCCTGGTGATAAGCTTATGCTGCCGCGGCTCCGGTGTCATGTTGAGGCAGTTGGGTCCAATGTAACGCTGCTTTTGGCGGGTGATCACGGTCAGCTTGAGCGGCTTATGCTGCTGCTTGGCCTGGAGGTTGTTCTTGCTCTGTGGGGAGGCCGAGATGCCCGAGTCATCAGAATGCGGGTCATCAGTGGTCTGTACTGCCGCCGGCCGGGCTGTGGCCACCTCGCCCTGGGCTTGATCCAGCTCATCCTGATCTTGTGGGTGCTCCTGCGTGCATTCAACATAACCCAAAACGTAAAATGTAAAAGCTGCACAGGGTTCCATGTCATGTGATCGTCGCTGCTGCACATGGTTGCAGGCAAACAGCGGAAAGTCAAAGCGGTCACTTCGAAATAAGGACGTGGAAAATGAGTTGGTCACACTGTAAAACGGTTCTTGATCAAGCTTTCCCACTGGGCAATGGGACCTCGCGATGAGGGCGACTGCTTGGACGACAGATCACAGAGCTGGGCCAGCGACATGGCCAGACGCATCCCCTTAGTGCTGCCATTTCTGGCTCCATTGGCTATGTAGGCGGCTGCACTCAGGCTGCAAATGCCAGCGGGCTTGTGTACGTCCTCCGGTTCGTTGCTGTTGCTGAATGAAAACTCAATAAGAATCAAACTTAAGTAGGTTATCTAAAACTTACACATTTCTATCCAACTTCTGGGTGGACTGGGCAGTGCGCAGTTTTCCGGGTCCATAGCAGTGATCCACCTCAGAGTCCTCGTTGTCATCGTCGTCCCCATCGGCCTCGTCATATGTGCTTAGCTGGCAGGAAACGAAAAAACGTAAGATTATAAGAGGATTCTTGATAGCCTTGACGTGCACTCACAGCTTGTCCAGCGAAACCTTCAGGGTGTTCTGTCTGTTAATCTTGCGAACGCGCTTCAGCTCCTTCTCTCGCGACTTAAGGTCCTGCAGTTCCTGCTGGATCTTCTGCTCGACGGGCACATAGCCTTGACGCAACGGCCTGCCATCCGAGTCCCGCTCGATGGCTGCCGGCGACATGGTGACCGTGGTAATGCCCGTTGGCGAGTTGCCGTTCTCCAGTAAGGCCAACGCCGTGTGTGTGTTCAGCTTGAGGGTGTTGCTGTTGCTGCTGACATCCATTCTGATTGCTCCCAGAGCTGCTGATGATGCCCAATGGCGTGACGGGCGGCAGCAGACTATTGGGTGGCACCAGCTTGCCATGGGAGGTCAGCTTCAGCGGCTGCTGGTGCTGCTTGGCCTGGAGGTTGTTGTTGATCTGTAGGGGGGCCGAGATGCCGGATTCATCAGAATGCGGGTCATCGAGGCTCTTCTCCTTGGTGCTGTTCACGCTAGAGGCCAGCGAGGGGTGTTGGATAGCTCATCAGTAGGCAGCTCCTGAGTGCATTCTCCATAACCTAAAAAGTAGGATGTCAAAGCTGCACGTGGTTTTCTGACAGCAGTTGATCGTCGCTGCTGCACATGGTTGCAGGCAAACAGCGGAAAGTCAAAGCGGTCACTTCGAAATAAGGACGTGGAAAATGAGTTGGTCACACTGTAAAACGGTTCTTGATCAAGCTTTCCCACTGGGCAATGGGGCCTCGCGATGAGGGCGCCTGCTTGGACGACAGATCACAGAGCTGGGCCAGCGACATGACCAGACGCATACCCTTAGTGCTGCCATTCCTGGCTCCATTGGCTATGTAGGCGGCTGCACTCAGGCTACAAATGCCAGTGGGCTTATGTACGTTCTCCAGTTCGTTGCTGTTGATATAAGAATAAAAATCAAATGAAACTTTTTTAAGTAGGTTTTCTAAAACTAGCCCATTTCTATCCAACTCCTGGGTGGACTGGTCATGTTGCAGTTTTCCGGGTCCATAGCAGAGTCCTCTTCGTCATCGTCGTCCGCATCGGCCTCGTCGTATGTGCTTAGCTGGCAGGAAACGAAAAAGCGTAATATTATAAGAGGATTCTTGAAAAGCTTGACGTGTACTCACAGCTTTTCCAGCGAATCCTTCAGTGTGTTCTGACTTTTAATCTTGCGCAGGCGCTTCAGCTCCTTCCCCCACGACTTGGGCTCCTGCAGCTCCTGCTGGATCTTCTGCTCGACGGGCACATAGCCTTGACGCAACGGCCTGTCCTCCATGTTCCTCTCGATGGCTGCGGTGATGCGGTGACCGCGTTAATGCTCGTTGGCGAGTAGCCGTTCTACAAGTGGGCCAACGCCGTGCGCGTGTTCAGCTTGAGGGTGCTGCTGTTGCTGCTGACTCCATTATGATTTCTCCCTGAGCTGCTGATGTTGCCCACCTTGCCATGGGAGGCCATAAACCGCTGCACCACGCCCTTGGAAGAGGCACCACCGAAGGCAAACTGTCGGTTCTGGAGCAGGCCGCTTAGCTGCGGTGATTAGCTTCTGCTGCTGCGCCTCCGGTGTGATGTTGAGGCAGTTGGGTCCAATGTAACGCTGCTCCTGGCGGGTGATCACGGTCAGCTTGAGCGGCTTATGCTGCTGCTTGGCCTGGAGGTTGTTCTTGCTCTGTGGGGAGGCCGAGATGCACAAGTCCTCAGAATGCGGGTCACCAGGGCTCTCCTCGTTGGCGCTGATCACACTACAGGTCAGCGAGGGCGTGATCCAGCTCATCCTGATCCTATGGCTGCTCCCGAGTGCATTCACCATAACCCAAAACGATTCTGGGGCAGGCCGCTTAGCTGCGGAGTGGAAATGATCCTGGTGATAAGCTTATGCTGCGGCGGCTCCGGTGTCATGTTGAGGCAGTTGGGTCCAATGTAACGCTGGTCCTGGCGGGTGATCACGGTCAGCTTGAGCGGCTTATGCTGCTGCTTGGCCTGGAGGTTGTTCTTGCTCTGTGGGGAGGCTGAGATGCACAAGTCCTCAGAATGCGGGTCACCAGGGCTCTCCTCGTTGGCGCTGATCACGCTAGAGGTCAGCAAGGGAGTGATCCAGCTCATCCTGATCCTATGGCTGCTCCTGAGTGCATTCACCATAACCCAAAACGATTCTGGGGCAGGCCGCTTAGCTGCGGAGTGGAAATGATCCTGGTGATAAGCTTATGCTGCCGCGGCTCCGGTGTCATGTTGAGGCAGTTGGGTCCAATGTAACGCTGGTCCTGGCGGGTGATCACGGTCAGCTTGAGCGGCTGCTGCTGCTGCTTGGCCTGGAGGTTGTTCTTGCTCTGTGGGGAGGCCGAGATGCACAAGTCCTCAGAATGCGGGTCACCAGGGCTCTCCTCGTTGGCGCTGATCACACTACAGGTCAGCGAGGGCGTGATCCAGCTCATCCTGATCCTATGGCTGCTCCTGAGTGCATTCACCATAACTCAAAACGATTCTGGGGCAGGCCGCTTAGCTGCGGAGTGGAAATGATCCTGGTGATAAGCTTATGCTGCCGCGGCTCCGGTGTCATGTTGAGGCAGTTGGGTCCAATGTAACGCTGCTTTTGGCGGGTGATCACGGTCAGCTTGAGCGGCTTATGCTGCTGCTTGGCCTGGAGGTTGTTCTTGCTCTGTGGGGAGGCCGAGATGCCCGAGTCATCAGAATGCGGGTCATCAGTGGTCTGTACTGCCGCCGGCCGGGCTGTGGCCACCTCGCCCTGGGCTTGATCCAGCTCATCCTGATCTTGTGGGTGCTCCTGCGTGCATTCAACATAACCCAAAACGTAAAATGTAAAAGCTGCACAGGGTTCCATGTCATGTGATCGTCGCTGCTGTACATGGTTGCAGGCAAACAGCGGAAAGTCAAAGCGGTCACTTCGAAATAAGGACGTGGCAAATGAGTTGGTCACACTGTAAAACGGTTCTTGATCAAGCTTTCCCACTGGGCAATGGGGCCTCGCGATGAGGGCGTCTGCTTGGACGACAGATCACAGAGCTGGGCCAGCGACATGGCCAGACGCATCCCCTTAGTGCTGCCATTTCTGGCTCCATTGGCTATGTAGGCGGCTGCACTCAGGCTACAAATGCCAGCGGGCTTGTGTACGTCCTCCGGTTCGTTGCTGTTGCTGAATGAAAACTCAATAAGAATCAAATTTAAGTAGGTTATCTAAAACTTACACATTTCTATCCAACTTCTGGGTGGACTGGGCAGTGCGCAGTTTTCCGGGTCCATAGCAGTGATCCACCTCAGAGTCCTCGTTGTCATCGTCGTCCCCATCGGCCTCGTCATATGTGCTTAGCTGGCAGGAAACGAAAAAACGTAAGATTATAAGAGGATTCTTGATAGCCTTGACGTGCACTCACAGCTTGTCCAGCGAAACCTTCAGGGTGTTCTGTCTGTTAATCTTGCGAACGCGCTTCAGCTCCTTCTCTCGCGACTTAAGGTCCTGCAGTTCCTGCTGGATCTTCTGCTCGACGGGCACATAGCCTTGACGCAACGGCCTGCCATCCGAGTCCCGCTCGATGGCTGCCGGCGACATGGTGACCGTGGTAATGCCCGTTGGCGAGTTGCCGTTCTCCAGTAAGGCCAACGCCGTGTGTGTGTTCAGCTTGAGGGTGTTGCTGTTGCTGCTGACATCCATTCTGATTGCTCCCAGAGCTGCTGATGATGCCCAATGGCGTGACGGGCGGCAGCAGACTATTGGGTGGCACCAGCTTGCCATGGGAGGTCAGCTTCAGCGGCTGCTGGTGCTGCTTGGCCTGGAGGTTGTTGTTGATCTGTAGGGGGGCCGAGATGCCGGATTCATCAGAATGCGGGTCATCGAGGCTCTTCTCCTTGGTGCTGTTCACGCTAGAGGCCAGCGAGGGGGTGTTGGATAGCTCATCAGTAGGCAGCTCCTGAGTGCATTCTCCATAACCTAAAAAGTAGGATGTCAAAGCTGCACGTGGTTTTCTGACAGCAGTTGATCGTCGCTGCTGCACATGGTTGCAGGCAAACAGCGGAAAGTCAAAGCGGTCACTTCGAAATAAGGACGTGGAAAATGAGTTGGTCACACTGTAAAACGGTTCTTGATCAAGCTTTCCCACTGGGCAATGGGGCCTCGCGATGAGGGCGTCTGCTTGGACGTCAGATCACAGAGCTGGGCCAGCGACATGGCCAGACGCATCCCCTTAGTGCTGCCATTTCTGGCTCCATTGGCTATGTAGGCGGCTGCACTCAGGCTGCAAATGCCAGCGGGCTTGTGTACGTCCTCCGGTTCGTTGCTGTTGCTGAATGAAAACTCAATAAGAATCAAACTTAAGTAGGTTATCTAAAACTTACACATTTCTATCCAACTTCTGGGTGGACTGGGCAGTGCGCAGTTTTCCGGGTCCATAGCAGTGATCCACCTCAGAGTCCTCGTTGTCATCGTCGTCCCCATCGGTCTCGTCATATGTGCTTAGCTGGCAGGAAACGAAAAAACGTAAGATTATAAGAGGATTCTTGATAGCCTTGACGTGCACTCACAGCTTGTCCAGCGAAACCTTCAGGGTGTTCTGTCTGTTAATCTTGCGAACGCGCTTCAGCTCCTTCTCTCGCGACTTAAGGTCCTGCAGTTCCTGCTGGATCTTCTGCTCGACGGGCACATAGCCTTGACGCAACGGCCTGCCATCCGAGTCCCGCTCGATGGCTGCCGGCGACATGGTGACCGTGGTAATGCCCGTTGGCGAGTTGCCGTTCTCCAGTAAGGCCAACGCCGTGTGTGTGTTCAGCTTGAGGGTGTTGCTGTTGCTGCTGACATCCATTCTGATTGCTCCCAGAGCTGCTGATGATGCCCAATGGCGTGACGGGCGGCAGCAGACTATTGGGTGGCACCAGCTTGCCATGGGAGGTTATAAACCGCTGCATCACGCCCTTGGTAGGGCAGGCCGCTCAGCTGCCGTATGAAAATGATCCTGGTGATGAGCTTCGTTTGTGGCGGCTCCGGTGTCATGTTGTAGCAGTTGGGTCCAATGTAACGCTGCTCCATGGCGGGTGACCACGGTCAGCTTCAGCGGCTGCTGGTGCTGCTTGGCCTGGAGGTTGTTGTTGATCTGTAGGGGGGCCGAGATGCCGGATTCATCAGAATGCGGGTCATCGAGGCTCTTCTCCTTGGTGCTGTTCACGCTAGAGGCCAGCGAGGGGGTGTTGGATAGCTCATCAGTAGGCAGCTCCTGAGTGCATTCTCCATAACCTAAAAAGTAGGATGTCAAAGCTGCACGTGGTTTTCTGACAGCAGTTGATCGTCGCTGCTGCACATGGTTGCAGGCAAACAGCGGAAAGTCAAAGCGGTCACTTCGAAATAAGGACGTGGAAAATGAGTTGGTCACACTGTAAAACGGTTCTTGATCAAGCTTTCCCACTGGGCAATGGGGCCTCGCGATGAGGGCGCCTGCTTGGACGACAGATCACAGAGCTGGGCCAGCGACATGACCAGACGCATACCCTTAG